GAAAACGGGGTCTTCAAGAGTCATGGGCCCGAACCCTTTTAGGATTTTCTTAGTCTCACTGAGTCCTACTTATAGCCAAAATATGGAGTCAAACGGCGTCCGACAGTTGGATAGGTTCCCTCGTTAGTGATAAGACAGGTTCTGCATTGAAAAACATTCTTGTACTCCTATAATTTCAAAGAACGTTGTTCTTTCTCAATCAAAACTAAAATTTAAAACTCTAAGCTGTTCTACTTACTACGAGAGTTTCTCATAATGTGATTTTTATAGCCATTTTCACCGTCCATTTGTCCCATAATCCGAGAAGATTTTTTACCCAAATGATCGTCCCGTCCATGTAATCGTCCATAGGACTTGGATCGAGTTTTGCCGCCACCTTTGAGATCCTTTTTCTTTGACAGAATACTACGACTCCCACGACGGTCTGATTCATCAAAACCATGTCCATTACCGACATCATTAGCACTGAAATCGTCGCCATCACGTCCAATTCGACTGTCAGAGCGTTCTGAAAAATTTATTTATTTAGTTTTATCACATTAGTAGACTTACTTTAGTCTCTCGTCACCGCCCATTTGTCGTTGTTTACTGTCACCTGCAGATGAATGATTCACAGAATGTTCAAACTTCTCGGTTAAGGTTTGTTGCGTAAACCTCACACCGTATAACTCAAAATATTCTCGGGTTGCAAAACAATGTTGAATGGAAAAGCAGACCAAGAAATACTTTCTCCATGCGTTTTAACAAGAAGTGGGTCTTCATCTTACTTTAAACTTCAATACGAACATACCATCAGCGTCATCCATGCCATCCTCATTATCTGCAGCGGATGGAGAATAGCCAAGTGGAGAACGTCCTTGATATGGGCTTCCTTGGCGATCAATGTCTTCCTCTCTTTGAGTAAAACCATCTTGAGTGTCATCATTCCTTCTATCTCCAAATAAGTCTTTTTTGCCATCTGGTGGTTCATCTCTGTGTTTCTTGTAATCACCATCATTAGATCCAAGTTGTCCATGTTTAAGATACTGAAAAAGAGTGAAATTTACTGAACACTGGTTATATGCATCCTTTTTTCAGAACAGATTCACAACTCCAACTAGCATGGTGAAATAGTGTTATATTGAATTCTAAAATAGTTTTCAGCAATCATCTTTTCTAATATCCAAAAGTTTCAGGAATATAAGCGCTACTTTGAACAGCAATCAACTGGGACTATTAATCTGTTACACCAGAAAAAATGAAAATTTTAGCAACAATCTGTATGTGAGACATTACTTCACAGTTGTAAGAAGGAAAGAATAATAAATCGAGGAGACTAATAGCAAAAGGAAATTATCCTTACTTTATTAAAAGTACGAAGTAATATCTAATCTCTAGCTTCCATCTTTTATTATGGAATTCATAAAACCGAACCAAGCGGAGTGATTACGGAGAACATAAGTAATACTGAAATATATGCATACTTCGATCTTACATTTTTAGCTTCTTTTAAAAGATCAGCGGCTAGCCATTCAATAACGTCATTTGGTGTCAACCACGGAGATTTACACAGGATTTGTTGAATAATTGAGGGTAAACAACAAGATAAAATGGCAATTTCTTGCTGTGGTACCAGTGGTCTAATTTTGTTCAAGACAGTATTCTTAATTTTTTGAATGACATCATCGCTAGGTGTTGCCACGTATTCTACATAGCCAGTTTGAACATTGATACACGGTTGCATTTGGGCTACATTCATATTCAGCAGTTTCGGAATATTGGCAACCGACGGTTCACAACAGAGTGTATCGACGTGAATATTAGTCGTGCCGTATGGACTTGAGATTGGATATTTCGGAACAACACAGCAAGCAACCCAAGTACTGGAGGGAAGCTCATTACTTCTAAAAAAGGCATCGTCACTGCTAATAATCATGAGTGATTTCTTAAAGTCATAAATAGATTGTATATATCTTCTATGGTTCATTTTCATCTAGCAGTCTGTTCTCTGATAATTAGATACGTGTATCGTCTTTTAAAAGTATTTTCTACCAAAAGAATCTTACCTTTGTGCAAAGTTGTATAGGCTTAGAGCTCGATCATTCAAAATACTGCGACAATTTTGAATAACATTATTTGAATTAAAATTCATTTTTAGGATTTGGCATACACATGAATATCATATTTTCTACGTATATTTTTAAAACATTTATTTTCTATTGTTAACATTCTTGATTTATTCGTACTAAAAGACGCATATTTTTGACAACCATCAAATAGTTCTTCATTTTAAAAACATAATAGTTCTTGCTCTTTGAACCAAACAACTACTTTCGAGAAAAAAATTATTACAATCTTGTTTTCGTTTTCAAACACAGTTAGTAATGTAAACCAATAACATT